TTTTCAGGGTCGAATTTTTGAGTTTCGATATCTCAGCTCTGGAAGGGTCTAGAGCCTCCATTTTTGCACTCAGGTTTAAGTCTCATGGCCCTCTATCAGAATCCAGAGTTTTGAGAAGATTGGAGAACCTTAATTTTCGCCCGAAAAAAAAAAAACGTAAGGGGTACCACTGTCGTTTTTTTTCGGGTCGAATTTTTGAGTTTCGATATCTCAGCTCTGGAAGGGTCTAGAGCCTCCATTTTTGCACTCAGGTTTAAGTCTCATGGCCCTCTATCAGAATCCAGAGTTTTGAGAAGATTGGAGAACCTTAATTTTTCGCCCAAAAAAAAAAAACGTAAGGGGTACCACTGTCGTTTTTTTTCGGGTCGAATTTTTGAGTTTCGATATCTCAGCTCTGGAAGGGTCTAGAGCCTCCATTTTTGCACTCAGGTTTAAGTCTCATGGCCCTCTATCAGAATCCAGAGTTTTGAGAAGATTGGAGAATCTTAATTTTTCGCCCGAAAAAAAAAAAAACGTAAGGGTACCACTGTCGTTTTTTTTCGGGTCGAATTTTTGAGTTTCGATATCTCAGCTCTGGAAGGGTCTAGAGCCTCCATTTTTGCACTCAGGTATAAGTCTCATGCCCTCTATCAGAATCCAGAGTTTTGAGAAGATTGGAGAACCTTAATTTTTCGCCCGAAAAAAAAAAACGTAAGGGGTACCACTGTCGTTTTTTTTTTCGGGTCGAATTTTGAGTTTCGATATCTCAGCTCTGGAAGGTCTAGAGCCTCCATTTTTGCACTCAGGTTTAAGTCTCATGGCCCTCTATCAGAATCCAGAGTTTTGAGAAGATTGGAGAACCTTAATTTTTCGCCAAAAAAAAAAAACGTAAGGGGTACCACTGTCGTTTTTTTTTCAGGGTCGAATTTTTGAGTTTCGATATCTCAGCTCTGGAAGGGTCTAGAGCCTCCATTTTTGCACTCAGGTATAAGTCTCATGGCCCTCTATCAGAATCCAGAGTTTTGAGAAGATTGGAGAACCTTAATTTTTCGCCCGAAAAAAAACGTAAGGGGTACCACTGTCGTTTTTTTTTCGGGTCGAATTTTGAGTTTCGATATCTCAGCTCTGGAAGGGTCTAGAGCCTCCATTTTTGCACTCAGGTTTAAGTCTCATGGCCCTCTATCAGAATCCAGAGTTTTGAGAAGATTGGAGAAACTTAATTTTTCGCCCAAAAAAAAAAAAAACGTAAGGGGTACCACTGTCGTTTTTTTTCAGGGTCGAATTTTTGAGTTTCGATATCTCAGCTCTGGAAGGGTCTAGAGCCTCCATTTTTGCACTCAGGTATAAGTCTCATGGCCCTCTATCAGAATCCAGAGTTTTGAGAAGATTGGAGAACCTTAATTTTTCGCCCGAAAAAAAAAAACGTAAGGGGTACCACTGTCGTTTTTTTTTCGGGTCGAATTTTTGAGTTTCGATATCTCAGCTCTGGAAGGGTCTAGAGCCTCCATTTTTGCACTCAGGTTTAAGTCTCATGGCCCTCTATCAGAATCCAGAGTTTTGAGAAGATTGGAGAACCTTAATTTTTCGCCCGAAAAAAAAAACGTAAGGGGTACCACTGTCGTTTTTTTTTTCGGGTCGATTTTTTGAGTTTCGATATCTCAGCTCTGGAAGGGTCTAGAGCCTCCATTTTTGCACTCAGGTTTAAGTCTCATGGCCCTCTATCAGAATCCAGAGTTTTGAGAAGATTGGAGAACCTTAATTTTTCGCCGAAAAAAAAAAACGTAAGGGGTACCACTGTCGTTTTTTTTTCGGGTCGAATTTTTGAGTTTCGATATCTCAGCTCTGGAAGGGTCTAGAGCCTCCATTTTTGCACTCAGGTCTAAGTCTCATGGCCCTCTATCAGAATCCAGAGTTTTGAGAAGATTGGAGAACTTAATTTTTCGCCGAAAAAAAAAACGTAAGGGGTACCACTGTCGTTTTTTTTCAGGGTCGAATTTTGAGTTTCATATATCTCAGCTCTGGAAGGGTCTAGAGCCTCCATTTTTGCACTCAGGTTTAAGTCTCATGGCCCTCTATCAGAATCCAGAGTTTGAGAAGATTGGGAGAACTTAATTTTTTCGCCCGAAAAAAAAAAAACGTAAGGGGTACCACTGTCGTTTTTTTTCGGGTCGAATTTTTGAGTTTCGATATCTCAGCTCTGGAAGGGTCTAGAGCCTCCATTTTTGCACTCAGGTTAAGTCTCATGGCCTCTATCAGAATCCAGAGTTTGAGAAGATTGGAGAACCTTAAATTTTTCGCCCAAAAAAAAAAACGTAAGGGGTACCACTGTCGTTTTTTTTTCGGGTCGAATTTTGAGTTTCGATATCTCAGCTCTGGAAGGGTCTAGAGCCTCCATTTTTGCACTCAGGTCTAAGTCTCATGGCCCTCTATCAGAATCCAGAGTTTT